ATAACAACACAAATAACACTAGCAACACTATTATTGTTGTTATTATTTATTACGAATGTTATTAAATTATTACAATTTTTTTAATATTGTATATAAATATCCTCGTTATTACAATATCACTTAAATATATATATATATATATATATATATATATATATATATATATATATATATATATATATATATCAGATATTTTGCCGCTGTAACATCTTCAAATTTTATAATGTAGCTATTAACGTAGATTTTTCCAGTGCGAACATTAATATTGGTTTTGAAACAACGTAAAATAATGAGTTTTTAAGCAAAAATGTGAGTAAAATGGCTGAGAATTTCGGTAGTGATAGTTAGATGGAGAAGGGGAATTTAAAAATTGGGTCAAGAAAAAAAGGGTCACATATTTAGAGGGCCGGAAAAGGAGTAAAGAAAGGAGTAGCTTAGAAATGAAATTGAGAGCTCACAAAACATTACTGTGGTAGGCTGCATTATGTGGCTTGGAGAAAGGTTTTCGCATAAGAAGCGAGGGTAGTTATCAAACGTGGATTCAATTATCCATTGATTCAATTATCCATTATTATAGATGATAAACGATATATAAAATGATTATTATTAATAAAAGAATTTTTGAAGCTTTGAATTGGAAAACATTAAAATTTATATATTTATATAACGCATGGAACATGGTTGTCTTGTCAGTGAACATTCATTTTGGAAGTTTTTAAGTTAAATTAAAACTTTGATATAAATTTTAAAAAGAAAATGAAATTTAAAAAATATTGTGACTCAATAAACAAAACAAAACGAAACGAAAAACAATATCTAAGAATCTTGTTGAACAATTACATTATTTATATATATATATATATATATATATATATATATATATATATATATATATATATATTATATTCCCTGAAATTAGAAAACAGAAAATAAAAGAAACCAAATAGAGTTAAGGGAAGGAATAGAGTACAGAGCCAGTTGATTTAATGGATTGAACAAACTTCATTCAGAGACTAGCAAGCAGCCAGAGCTAGGCAGCTCATATTAAAAACACAACATCCAACCAGTCAGCCGAGATAAGTTGAGATATCAATGATTTTTATCACCACTATTACGTTTTTGTAATGCATGTTCTGGTCGAGTATTATCAAGTAGTAACTACGTAACTACTGCTACTAACATCATTTAACATCAAAAATACTATATCATCAATCATAACAAAAATAATAATGATTATAATATTAGAGCAATAATAATATTAGCAATAACAACAAAAATAATAATAGCAGCATGTTTAAAATTACAATTGATGGATTATAAATAGGTTAAAACAGATGTATGTGTGTGTGTGTGTGTGTGTGTGTGTGTGTGTGTGTGTGTGTGTGTGTGTGTGTGTGTGTGTGTGTGTGTGTGTGTGGTGTGTTTGACTGTGTTATGTATGTATATATGTATGTATAACAATATAATTAAAACCATACAGGTACAAATATGTATAAAAACAATTTTAAAGGTAAGAAAATCATAGAACATGTGTCTTAATTGAAACAAATAAATAAATTGTAATGCGATTGTAACAACAAACAAAATGAATCAATCAAATAATATTTCTGTTTTCATTCTTTACATGGTTGTTGCTTGTCGATCACTCTGTTAATCAGTCTTGCTGTATATCCAATTTCGGACCATAACCCCGGCCACGATCTATCACATCCACATATTTGGCATCTACGTACAGTCGAAAAGAAATCGATGGGTGCGAATCAAAGGGCCTGTCCTCGTTCAGCCTCTTCTTGAAAGCAGGGTAGCCCGATGAAGCCCCCAGGCTTGTTTGTCGGTGGTGGTGCAGCAGTTTTCTGTACGTCACTCCTCGGCGAGTCGTATTCAACTGGTTTGCTAACTATCAGATGTACGTTTCTTCTTAATTCCTTCAAAAAGTCGCAATTTTTATTCAATATATCAAATATGGACTCCATGTTTTTCGGAACCGCTTGACGAGTTTTAACAGCCTCAAACTTTAATACCTTACAATTCGATCAAAACCCATGGTAACAAACTTAAGAAATTTATATATATATATATATATATATATATATATATATATATTACTATTTATATATAGATATATACATATACAACATAAGCCATTAGACCACACATGCAAGCAAGCAGACAAACACAAACAATACAAAAGACCGATATACAAATTTAAAAACAATTAAAAAATAATAACAAAAAATGACTAAATAAAAAATTATAATATAAATAAAACGCTCTGAGAATTATTGTTCTAATTTTAATTCCGGGTCCACCTATATTTAGAAATACACACACATACACAGGCACACACACACACACTCACACATATATATACTTACATCTGTGTGTGTATGTGTATGCATGTATCAGTGTAGGAGCCAGTTACATTCATTTAACATTCAGTTATCTATAATATAATGATCATTCGCAATTGTTTTGTCACCATATTGTTTTTTTAAATAAAAACATGATTGTATCATGTCTACAAATTATCTTTACACACGCACACACACATATATATATATATACATATACAGTTTGCTTGAATAAATAAATAAATAAATATATATATATATATATATATATATATATATATATATAATAACAATAATAATAACAACAACAATAATAACAACAATAATAATAAAGATAATAAAGATATTGAAAATAAACGTTGACATCTATGTATATTAAATGAGAAACATGTACTGTGAAGAAAAACAATTGGCAAGGATGATGGTGGCACTGATGATGATGACGACGATGACGATGTTGATGTTAATGATGATAATGATGATGTTGAAAATGATGACGATGATAATCGTCTTGTTGATGATGATGATGACGACGATGGAAATGTTAATGATAATGTTCCATTTTCTAGTGACGATGATGGCGAATAAAATGAAATGATGGTGGCGATGGTGAAAGAGATGAAGAGGAAGAAATAAGTAAAGAGGAACGTCAAGAATGACAACCAGCATCATAGATGAATTGTAACAACTAAAATTGAGTGCACACACATTATCACATCGTCACAGCACACACAAACACAAGAAACGCTACAAACACAACAAACACGATGATGTGGAGTGGAGTGCTGTGTAATTAAATGGAAATATAAATAAGTGACAATTTTATGGCGTGTGTGTGTGAGTGAATGAGTTGATTGAAGTGAGGAAGGTGAACGGAGCTGTGATACAACAACGAGTTTGATATTGAGAAATGCAATGACGAGCATAATATGATGTCTACCAAATTCATTTATATAGCCGACCATAAAGATGAATGATGATGAAGATGATGCATCTCGGGACGAACACAGAACAAGAACAAGATGATGATGAATAAAATTAATGCAAACATCGAAGATAATAAATAAAATGAAAGACACGATAATGATAATGAAGTTGATGATTAACACGATCATGATTATGATAACCAACAAAAGACACGACATAACGATGATAATCAACAAGGAAATGATATCCTGATGATAAACAATAAAGACATGATATATTGATGATAATCAACAAAGACTATATCATGATGATAATCAACAAAGACACGATATTATGATAGTAACGAACAAAGACATGATATTATGACGAACACTGAATAACAATTTTTTTATATAATTTTTAATACACCATCTGTCAACAAAAGCTAATGCGATTGCATTATAACCATGATAATTACACTTGATGCAAATATACATTATTATTATATATATTTTTTCAAGATATGTTTGTTAGAAAACAAAAATATACAAATCGTCTTATGTAGTCTACTCCTTCTAGTCTTCTCTCTATCATTTTCATTCATTTTATTTCTATATCTGCTCTAAATAAATTTTCGGTTTGGTTAAGCACCATTGTTGCTTAACTACTTAGTAGCAGTTTTCTTACCATCACCATTTTGATGTCACCATTCTGTGATTTTTTTCATTTACTTATAGCTGAAAATATTTTTAACATATTTATAAAATAATATCTCTTTATTTCTCGACGTCGATATTTTTGATATTTTGTTGACGTTGTTGTTGCGTTATTTATGGCTGTTGTTAGTGCTACTGTTGTTTATTATGGTAGTTGATGTTGTTGATGTAAGCTGTAGTGAGCTGTCGTCATCATGAATCTGCGTTGAAGCTGTCGTCGAAATCGCTGATGCCGCTGCAACTCGTCACATCAATCTCATCTGATTTCAAAATAACAACAACAACAACAACGTTAGTAACTGCGATAGTTTCAAGAAAATAGAAACATTAATTAATTTATAATAATGATAATGAGCATAATAAAACTGATTCACGAAGAACTGAATGGAAACATTAAGAACGCTGGAATGCCTCGCGATGTATGAACCTGAAGCTGAGGAGAATGATGGGGATGCAGATGACGCAGACGACTCACTGATGGTGTGTGTCAGACGGCATCGATAACCTTTGACCTGCAGTGACGACAACTTTACCCTCATCTCCAGGTCCTCCTTCAACAACATTTCCTTCTCCAGCTCCATCTGCTTCTCTTTTTCTTGTAAGTACTGCATAAGAATGGAGGAATTTGATCAGTCTTATAAAAGTTCACAATTATGTCTTCTTTAAATTTTAGCCCATTTTTAGATGAATCAGTGAAACGAATTTTATTTATTTATTTACTTACCTTTAAAACACTGAATCAGTATTGGTTTGTGTTAAATAGAAAATTTTATCCAACCCCAAACAAATACTTCTTTTCACTTCTTTCCCCTCAATTTCAAGTTGAAAAGTAAAAAATGTAAACTGAACTTTGCAAATATAAACCTATCGAAAGGAACATTTTCAAAGTAAACTTTACAAAAAATGAACTTTGCAAAAGAACATTACAATTTACATCAAGTGATGTATTCTTGGACGATCAACCAGCCAGACAGCCAAAGCCAACAAACAAAAAAAACAAACAACAACAGATCAGACGATTCCTAACTTTAATGAGCGCTCTGGCTTCAATGAGTAGTCCAAGAGTTGTGTGCCTCGTACAATCCGGACCCAGAGGAACGGCTTCCTTTAACTTCTCCAGGCACATCTTCATGTGAGCTCGTCTGATTGATTGATTGGATTGTGGCTGATTGACTGATTATGGTTAATTGATTGTGGCTGATTGATTGTGGTTAATTGTTTGATTGTGGTTGACTGATTGATCGTGGCAAAAATCATGACAGTCACAAAAAATTTATAAATTCAAAGGGCATGCGGAAGTAACATAAAATCTGAGGTGCACTCAAACAATATACCACGTATCTGGTTAGTCGCATTTTTGCAGCTACCACTATTACTACAACCACCGCTACTGCTACTAACATTACTGCGACCGCCACTACTGCAACTATGACTACCACAACTACTACTAACAGCAGATGAGCAGAAAAAGTTCTTAATTTTTAAGTACAAAGGCACGCGCACTTGGTTGAGTTCATCTTTAAAGGGTGGTTGGTACTGTTTAGTTTAGTGAGATTTGCAGATTTGTGATTATTTTTTATTATTTTTCATTCGACATCATAAGGAGCATCCAACAGACTAGCAACAAACGTTCATTTGGTTTTAAAAATTTTTACAGGTCATCATCATCATCATCATTATCAGTAGCGGCATCATACTCACTAGATTATTATTAGCCTGCTAGGTTCTGAATTCTAATTTATGTGCAGAATTTTACGTAAATAAATTTAACTGCCCATATCTTTCATGAACTTCTCTGCTCATAAATCAAAATGGCGATATAATTAGAAACATTTGTATTAAATTTAAATGTATTTATATACGGTTATTTAATAAAGTGTGCGCGCGTCCATGTGTGTGTGCGCGTGTGCCTGTATATTTCCATCTTATTGCTTACTCAAGTGAGAAGAATAAAGTGCGGCAATAAAATGTAATTTAAGGAGCAATAAAGATGAGTTTTAGGTTTAACAGACTGTTTGTTATATTTCAATGTTTACTTCAATCTCAACTCTATAGTACAGTACAGAATAACATATGTCAGTTTATATACAGTTCCACTCACTGAAGCACATCACACACACTCACGCAAACATACACACACAGGCAGGCAAGTACAAACACATACGAAGCCAACACGTAGATACACACAAGCACGCACACGTACCTATATACACGCATACATAAAACAAAGAAGTATTAAGATAAATAGATATTCCTGGTTTCTAATTTCAGGTAGATTAAAGTGTTAAGATGTAAAATATACAACATTACTACATAAAACGAGAGAGAGAGAGAGAGAGAGAGAAAGAGAGAGAGAGAGAGAGAAAGAGAGAGAGAGTCATAAAGTTTGCAGTCATCACCATCATGATACTCCTCCAATTCAGCATCATTGACATTCATCACATTATCATAATAATAATCACCATGAATTGTTAAACATCGTCTTCCTCGTCATCTCAATTATACTCATCAACATTATCATATTTCTTTATTATCCTATTTATTATCATATCCCATTTATCCTAACATTATCCTAATTATTGGTTTCATCATCATTTAAATGGTCATCATCAGTAGCATCACATCTTCTTCATCTTCATCATCTCATGGTGCACCAACATTCCATTCCGGTAAACATGCAAACATGCACATTCATGGAAGCACTAATGCACGCTCACTCCAACAACAACATCACATGATCATAACATGGCAATCATCATGTAAGATGTAATGCATGTGTCCACAAAATTAGGCTTAACGTATTGACCAATCAATCAACCAATTAATAAATAAATTAATTCATTTATTTATTTATTAATGATCCATTATTAATTAATAATTAATAAAAGAAATAAATAATTAATAAATAGACGGAAGGGATGACCAACCTATTTTTCTCCAGCTCGTTGTGCGTAGATCTGAAATTTAAAAAATTCTCTATGAGACGTGTTAAACGTCTGAAAGTATGCACCGGAAATAAAAATAAATTGATCAATTAATTAATTAATTAATAATAAATTAGTGGACACTTTGAAAATGGGAATAATTATTTTTGGCGACAAATAAACGGTTTAAAGTAACAAATGAATAAATTTACTTTTCGAAATAAAATAATTTAAAAAATTGTTCAAATTTGTTTTTAAAAAACTAGATCCGACTTTGAGATTCTGAAATAATATGCTAAAAAACGCAGCTGTTCATATTTTTTTCTCTCCTAATTTATGAACGGGAGGGTAACGATGCTGTTTTGTCGTCATCATCCAAACATTATCTTGTTTTTTCAGCGTCATCATCAATTCTTCATCACTAATGATCAGTATTAATTCACCATCGCCAACAATTCATCATCATCATCATTCATCAATTCATCATCATCATTTCATCATCAATTGACCATCATCAATTTTTCATCACGAATGATCATTATTAATTCCTCCTCCCCAACAATTTATTATCCTCATTAATTCACCCTCCATCCAACAACATCA